AACCTTAATGATTCTATGATTCTAAGTTTGTGAATGCACTGACCACATGGCAGAGGACCTTTTCTCCCTTTCCTTATGTTTCTTTTAGCTTAAAAAATGAAATGAAATGTTCAGCCAAAGTATGTTGCTAAATATGAAGCACAAAAACCAATCAGAAGGAAAGGAAAGGCAATGCTTGCCAGCAGTGAGACACTGATGTCTGCACATAACAGAACTATTCCTAGAAGTATAATTTTTCCTCTCTGACTTCTCCCCATTTTCATCCTCCCACTCCATGCAAGAGGGCATATGACGGGGAAATTATATATGTCACATGAAGCTATAAAGGCTGTTAAGTAAGAACAGTCTTGGTTGTGTACTCTCCCATTGAGAACAAGCTAAATGTTCCCATCTCCAGTTCTTCAAAACTTGTTATGCAGACATTTAAGAAGATACACATTTAAGAAGAACACCCATCTTGTCAAATGGCATTAGTAACAAACTCATACATTATTTTTCCCTTAAATATAAATATTTTTACAGCAAGTCCACTTCAATACACTACAATACACTCTATTAAAGCATCATCATATGATTGTATGTTATGCATTGCTGGGTATTTTCTGATATAAGCAAAATTCTGACTCCTCTCACAGCACCCCACAAAAAAAGAAATAGCAAACAGCGTAAAATGAATCTTGACTCTTTCTTCTTTCTAGGATTAAGGGTAGAAGTATTGGAATGAAGTATGACAGGAAGTTGCAGGAAGAAGAACAAAGAAAAGACTTAGGCCGAAACAGGAGCTAAGATGACATGAAAGGCTTCAAACATTCCCTTTTAATTGAAATGTTCTGTAATTAAAGCCAATTTTGATAATGGAGAGCATTATGGGTTTCAATCACGTTTTATTCATTCCGTCTTTTTCACTTAGTCAGAGATAGGTCTCTCCTTAGTACTGCCAGAAATCCCAGACAAAAACCCAAACCTTTGATTAAAACGAACACATCCAAAACTTGGCAAATGTTGCCCTTGATATCTTACCTTTAAGGATAATCTTTAGAAATGTAGCTAAATTCTTTAGAGCCTTCTATTTGTAATCCTCAACCCACTTAAGACTGATTTAGTTATCAGAGGGAAGTAAACAAGACGTTTCTTACAGTTTCTGCAGCTTACATCCTTCCTGACCTCCAGCAAGATGTCCCTAGACTTCCCCACTGTAACATGGGATGAATGCCACTGGTCTCAGGCCATGGGCTGGCATTTTTTTCTGTATCCAGCAGAGCTGACAGAAGCGATCACTGTATTCCTCCCCCTGTTACTTGTCACGCTCAAACTAGAGTTTAGCCCCATTGAATGATGTGGGAAGACAGAACATTGTAAGCAGTCCATAATTCTTGAGCTACAATAACCTGGTTAGTGTACACAGTTTAAGCAGGTGGTCTGAGCTAGCCTCACCGACTCTGCCCAGCCATGCAGCAGAGCTGGGAATACGGGGATTTCTAGCAAAGATGAAATGACAAGTAATTTGGCATCTTTTTCTTTTACAGGCCTACCCAGATGCAGAAAAGGACCCTTGTCCACAGCTATATAAAACCATGACGGCAGTTAGGTATTCAAGTCCCACCCTCAGGGTAAAAAGGTCCTGTACATACCTCAGTTCCATTTCAACCTGCTTGTTTTAAAATTAAACAATTTATCTGCAACTGCTATTCCCCAAAAGCACCTCAGTCTGGGAACTGGAAAGCTCTCCCCTTCACACTGTGCTTCTCTAATGACCGATCAGACCCAGCAGTGACACGTGTATTCTGTGGAGATTACACTTTTCGTTAATTGGCCATGTTCAATATAAAAAAAAGTAGCAGGATAAATAGATTAGTCTGGTTCCGTACAAGCCATGGTGGCAGATGAAAAGAGCATTGAACAGGGAAAATGAAGGAAACATGAAATAAGCAAATTACACAGATACAAGATTAGTTCAGGCTTTCTGTTTATCACAAGAATTGGATTTTATCACTTCAGATAAGACATCCCACACTGTCACCGATTCAAAGCCTGTCTGCGGTGACTGCACTTTATGTACCAGTGCATATGGCCATGACTGCAGTTACAGTCTGCAAGTCACAGTTTTAATGTGCTGATGTTACAAGCATACAGTAAGCATTTTAATATGGCCAGGTATTAAGTCATACATCTTGGAAGAAACAAGACAGGCAATACTTATAGAAACAAAGCAGGGACTTGAAAAGCAGCAGTTCTAAAAAATAATACAAGGGTCTTGGCTGAGAAGTCATCTAAACATGAGTTCCTAATGGTGAAAAGAGGATATGCCTAACAAAGCATATAGTATTTCTTTTTGATTTGGTGCTGGTACGGCCCACAGGCCCTTTGCTAACATTCACATTTCAAGAGGAATGTGAATAATCTTGAAAAGGTCTAGAGAAAACAGACACGTGAGAACACTTAAGGATTAGAAAGCACAAAGCTCTCAGTGGTTCAGCATATACAGGCTTTTCAGGAGTCAACTATGTGTTACTTTGACCTCAATCTATATATTCCTACAGGGAAACAGAACAGAAACATCGTCAGTGCAGTAGACAAAGTCTGTAACTGCTACTAAAACTGGAAATTACCATTTGGAAATCTGTACAAGAAATAATGCAAAGTCTTAAGGGAGAAGGCAATGATTCGAGGATACTACCAGAGGAAATAGTGGGGTTTCCATCATGTGCTATTTAAAAACCAAGATTGGATGTTCTTTTCCAAAAAGCCATGTTTTTGTCTTAATCAGCCCATGAATATCCTGTGTGTCATACAGAATCTCAGACTAGGCAATCACAAATCTCCCCTCTGGGCATATAAGCTATTAATACATATTTCTGAATTCATGCAGACTGAATAAACAGAGAAAGATATATATTGCAGTGAAAAAAAAACCCCTGGTGACTAAGCAACTATCTTGTTCCTTAAATCCAACTAGTATTCAACAGGTTGTTCTGCTGATATGCGCTACAAATCAGGTCAGGAAGTATACATGATTATTACATGCAACTGTTCCTGAGAGACTGATAATGAGATCAGGAACTAAAAGTACAAGAGCCTCAGCTAGAAAAGACTCAAATGAAAGGATCCCAGCTCTGCTCCAGCATTGTGCAGACAGAAGAACAGACTGCAGATCGGGGCATACCAAGTCATTCCATACCACGAGCCAAAGAGAATAACTGTCACAGTATTTACTATGATGCAAAGCAAAATTTCCTTTTAAGACACAGATTAAATGGCTTAGTGCAATAAGCCCAAATATAAACCTGAGAGATCACACTCAAACACGCACAGCTAATATACATATTTTTCTCAGCACAGTAGCCAAGAAGCATTCAGCTCTACCTTTTTGCTACCACTGGCAACATTCTCCCATTTCTCTTAAGTTTTTGTTTTGTTTTGTGTCCCTGATAGACCATTTACTTGTAGCTATCATTTTTCAATAATTTATTCTGGAAAATCAGAGTTATCAGACTAAATGTTGCTTCCGTGGTTCAGAAAACTGTGCAAGACTGATATTCTCATGCCAATGAAGAGAAAAGGAAAGAAACGATGAGACATGGGTGCTCTCACACTCTTGTATCGTTTGGTCCTATGTATAGCACAGCATGTACAGAATAGTTCCTTTTTCAGTTGACAAGAGGCTTAAAATAAGGTCTTTTTAGGCAGGAGGGAAGGCATGCAGGGTATATGGGCACACAGAGCTAAAGGTAACTTGGAAGAAACCCAATTACTAGTAAGTAATCACTTTTCTTTGAAAACTGCATGAGAGACACACTCCCAGGTGTGGCAGCCCGGAAGGAGCTCCAGAAAAGGACAGTGGACAAAAAGCAGAGACCATTGTGAGCTTAACAACACTTTAACTTGGTGAAAATATGACCAAACCTCAGTGGTGTTATTCTGCAGCTCTCGTCTGCAGATGGGAGACAATGCAGTAATTGCAATATTTAAGAAACAAAACTCTCATATTATTACAGGGAGATAAAATGAGATTGAACACTTCTAGGGTCTTCAATGAAACACAATTTCCAGTTCAAAATGCAGCACATTTTTGGTTGTAGATATAAGAAAAGAAATAATTGAAAGATACATTTGCTTATGACTGATTAAAGTTCACAAAGCCTCTGACACCTTCAATTTCCCATTACTTTTAACAGCTTCTACATTTTCCAAAATTATTGTGATATCAGGAGTATAAAAATTTTTTATTCTATCAGAAAGGTGTACGTAAATAGCAAAGGATCCACATCAATCTAGACAGAAGTTTCCTCATCAGAAAGACTTCAAAATGTTCAGTTTAATTATTTAAATATGTTTATTTTCAGAAAAATAACTTAACAGATTTGGAGAGAAGGGATACTTTTAAATTTAGAGTTATGCTTTATTGTATTGATCAAAATAAATTTGTTCAAGTATATGAGTATAGAAAACTCACCTTCCAGAAATGATCTACTTTGCCATAAACGAGAGATTGATTCTGCCTTTTGATGTCATTAATGTGTTTAATGTCACTGGAATTCAGATGCTGCTCTACCACAAATCCAAGGAAGCTGTTATCTGGAGTGTGAGCTGTAAGAAAAGGAGCATATTCAAAACCTTTTAAAGTATCAGTTAATGTTACAAAAGCGTGAATGTTGTCAGAAAAGTAGGTATAAGGAACATAATATTCAACAGATCACTTCCTTCACATTCATACTGAAAGATACATTTGCTTGCTTTATTATTGAGAATAGTTCTTATTAATTTTAAGTCCTGCTGCATATGTCTACTAAAGTAAGCAGTTATTTTCTGGCTCGTTTCTGACAATAAGAATTCTGTAGCTGGACTGAGGCCAATGATAATGATTTTTTGTGTGCTGAGCTTTATTTTATTATTAGACATGAGAGAACCAGAAGAAATCCAGCTTGACAATCTCAGAGACGCAGTATGAACAATTTGAAAAAACCCTGGATTTATGCTCGTTAACAAAGCTGTATGTTGCTCAATGTCATAAATAAATTTTAGTAAATTTCTTGGGTTCCCCTCCTATATATGTAAGAGCTAAGACCAACCATCCAACTCACTGCATATTATGTATCCATACTAATTACTAACCTACAAAGTCACACAATGCATATCAGAATACAAATTTCACTGCCTAATTCACTCAGATATATCTATCATAAAATATCGAAAGGTGACAACTGAAGTTGGCAAAATTATTGTTAATCCAATGCCCAGACAAAAAAAGTGCATGCAAAGGATATGCAATTTACTCTTAGTTTTCTATATTATTTTTAGCCTCTGTTGGTCTTTTTCCAGCAGTGGCATCCAGCAATACTAGCCACTGTTGTCCTCCTATAAAGACACAGACCTATAGCCTCATTAAAACTAAGGGTTTTTGTTGTTTTGTTTTGTTTTTTTTTCTTTTTGTAGACAGGGTGTTTAATTCCAGGGATGGACTCCGACATTCAAGGCTTCAGGTAAAAATCCATCCCTACTATATAAAAATTACTGCAACATGTGGGATTTTTGTGCCTCTCCAGAAGTATCATAGCCTCACAAGTTTACATAGAAATAGGCTGCGATAAACGCTAGGATCTCCTCTATAAGCCTCCCTTCTAAATTCTGGCACACAAACTGACAACTTCTTACTAACCACACTTTGCAAAGTTAAAAAAACTCAAAACAAACAAAAAAAATACCCAAAGGCAACGCCCCAGGCACTTATGACATATGCAATGCTAAACCTATGGTCAGAGTTCTAAAAAAAAAAAAAAAAAAAAATTCTATTGCAATTTGGTTTTGCTTTTTGATTCCTGAAAATCAGCTAACTGGATAATGCAGTAGAACAGAGAAACCATACACAGTGTACGTTTCCCTCTGCTATTACATTTAGTCTTTCAGATGACAATTACTCTTTTTCACAAAAAAATGTCTCGGCAACAGCTAGGCACTCACTGAGACCCAAGGACTTTTTAGAATTTAGCATAGCAAATGGCACACTGCAAATAAGCCTGAAAAGGGGCATTTTTCCATCCTTTCATATTTTTGGATGAGAGATTGCATTCAAAGAAGAGGCAAGGCAGTACACACTCAAAAGAAAAATAAACCTTTGTTAAAGTTAGCACTTAGAACTGGTGGAATTCAGTGCCTCAAACATCACTGACAGGAAGCACTCAGATGGATTTTTAAGCAAGATCATGCAGTTTTAAAAGTAACAGTGCTGTTATTTTGCATAAAAGAATTTAAATAAAAAACATAAAAAGGGGAAAAAACCCTCATGCTTCTGGAAAGCTCAGAGAACAGTTAAGCATTTGGTAATATGCCACAGGTTTGAATATGGCTTGCTTGTTGCTCAGTAATAATTTTCTGCCCTTATAATCAGAGTTCTCAAAACATAATAGAGTCTGGGGATCTTGGGAAGCTGTCCAGGTTCCAATCTGTCATAAAATCTTTACTGATGCATAACATGCACTTTTAATCACAACCCCATAAAGATGGTGCTGTCTCTGCAGCAGAGAACTAAAAACAAAAATAAACTTTAAATACCGCATAACACTGACTCTTCTGCACCTAGTACAAAAAGAAGCAAAATCCTTGAATAATCTATAGCACTGGAAACACTCATGCTTCAAAATGAGTTTGCTTGCCATCTCTTTACCACTTTTCCTGCAAAGGAAACCCATCAGTCACGTCCAGTAATAAAAATTGGAAATGTTTATTTATTGAAATTCCAAGATACTCATACTCTTCTGAAAATTCATTAAGAAGTGATTTGCTCTGAACAAGAGACTGTAACAGTAGTATATACTGCCACAACAGAGATCTTCTATAGAGATTTACTTTCTTCTGCATTTCATAGAGTGGGATTGAGGAGTGCACACACACAGTTGTACCACAAGTATTCACGCAACTATTTTCCTCAAGTGCATCATCACCCTTGGTGCTATCTTGAACAGGACTGCACACACAAATTTCCCAACAGCTGGACTACTTAAATACAGCATGATTGAGCTTTCGGCTCCTTTTCCATTTCAGACATAAACCAATAAAAATTAGCAAATCATGTGGATATGGAACAAGCTCTGCTTACTAATGTCCAGACACAAACTCTGCAACCACTTCCAAGTCACTTTTCCCCACCATGTGTTTTGTTACTTGCTTCGAAACAACTGTGAATGCAGTCTTTTATCTTTTGAACAACCTTCACTTATATTTCTCTGGAAAAACCTGCACAGCAAATGTTGACAGACAAAATATGCCTCTCAAGAATTTTACAGGGCAACTGAAATCAAAAGCATGTCAACCAGACAGCAGCATGTATAATTCTGCTATGAAAAGCAGAAAAGTTTGAAAGACTTGACTATGAAATCTGATGAGAGAGAACAGTGCATGCCCTGGCCTTAGTCTCAGACAGGGACCACCACCAAACTTTGGAGGTCAGGCTGGTCACTAGCAAGTGTTTCTTTACAGACTCAGGCTGAGAAGTTGCTGCAAACAACAGCATGCACTTTCCTCTTTCCTAAGCCTCACTTACCCTCAAGCTAGCTGGCAGTGGTGAATCTTTCTGCACCTTTCAGAGGTAACAAACTTGAATTGCTACTACAACATGCAAAAGAGAAAGATCCTTTGATTCTAGAACCTAGTGCCATAAAGTCAAAGACTAGGGCTGGAGCAGGTCACTGTAATAATTTAATCTGACCCAATTTATACAGAATTTATATTCTTCTTCTGTTCTGTTTCTTTTTTAGCGTTGTTTTTTTGTGTGTTTGTTTGTTTTTAAGATATTTATAAACACAGTGATACTTACGGAACATTGTATAAAACTGCTGTGGATTAAGGTTCCACTTTCCCCATGGTGTCTTGTGGCCTTTAGACTGGGCATAATGGGCATGGTTAAACTCTGGTTCAGTTCCAAAGGAATCCAGAACTCTTAGCATACACCTAAAAGAAAGAAAAAAAATTTACTGTAGGTACACATGCATATGTGTATATATAAGCATCTGTGTATATACACAGTTATGATAATTAAGATGTGTTTTGTTTTTGTTTGCAACTGTGGATGATTTATAAACTAAAGGTACATTTTAATTTCAAACATTTCTGTTCATATTACATTCACGAAGACATTACAATCAGCAAATTCAAAGATATATCAGACATTCAAATAGCAACCCTGGAGCTTATTTTGGGTTTCTTTGTTCTTACAGAATGGAGTTATGCTTTAACATCCAAGCAGAACTCATGGGAATGCTACTGTGGTCACCTACATTCTTGGGGCTCTGAAGTAGAATTTAGGCAGAAGAACAGAGGATTCTTCATCTATTTTCTAATGTTCTCACCCATTACTACAAAATCAATGCAACAACCAAGGGCCACATGGCAAGAAGATCAGAGCAGAATAGTACTTTGTCTTTAGACAATTGTATTTAGTCTCCAGGTTCTAACTTCTGGGTCAATTAGACCTCCTGGAGAAGCACTGAAGACAGTTTAATTTGCTGAACGCTTGCAGTCAGACAGACCATTTATTTGTTTATGAAACATTTTGTCACAGACTTTTGAAGAAACAATATAAAAGTCAAATGTCTGCAACAACCAGTCTACAACTAAAAGAAACCTTGGCATCGGATTACAAAGGGTCTGGGATGAGAGAATCACATTCAGTCCTTTATTTAAACTATTAATTCCTTGAAAAAAAAATTACTTCATTTATGAGTGGCTACTTTCAAAAAAGGATCCATAGTACATGAAAGGCAGAAAAAAGTCTCAGTATGAAGAAGTGGGCATACATTCTAGCATACAGATTCTAGAAGTTATGTTTCCAAAATGCAGCCTGACAAACCTTTGATATGGCTTGGACAGAAAATTTATGGCTGTCATACTGACCATTGGCTGCACTGCAAATGAATTGGATTATATGGCTCCAAAGCTGCTGACCCTATCATTCCTCAGCCCTCCACAAACAAAATTTTCGTAAAAGACTTATATAGGATGTGTTCCTACACCATGTGCCACTATGTTGTAAAGACATGAACTCTTATCACTGCACATTGTACCACTGGGCTTGTACGTGCTAAGGAAGAGACACAACCTCACGGGCAAAGAAGGGAGGTAGCTGCAAAAGTTACTATTAAAAATGGCTATATTTCCCAGCTTTCAACATTTCCTGTGCTCCACGCCATACTGTTCAGTAAAACACCAGGATTTTGGCTTTAAAATGTGAAATAATTAAGCCCCCAAAAGGTGAAAAAAAACTTAGCTCCAACCAGTTTTCAGCTTTAAAAGATGAAATAATTTAGTCCCAAAAATACATTTACATATTTCTTATATGTTGCTCCTTTCCCTAAAGTATTCATTAAATTGGGAAACAGAATAAAAGCCAGCAACTTTTAAACTCTCATATGAAATGCCACCTTTGTATTTGAAAGTACAAATAGGGCAAATTTGCCTTTTTTTTTTAATCTTCACAGAGATCTTTCAAGCAAAAAGAAAGTCAAAATATACAACACATTATGATTCACCAAACAACAAAACTGACAGATCAGTTTCTGTGCAATGTTTTATGTCAACTGTTCTCAATGAAAATATTTTACAATAGTAGCAATTATCTCTGCATCAAACAAAATACTCCAGCAGGACCAAAACAATTTCTGCACTGATGAATCATTCAGTAATAAAAGCCCTGTTACTTCTTGGCAGGCCTTAAAACAAAATTCTTATCAAACATACAGCTTTTGGCCAGGTACTTGAGTACATGGGAATGGGTGAAAGCTACTGAAAAACTGCAACATCACTGGAGTTTGTCAAATTATATATATAAAGAGCACTACATCGCACGCGATCATCTCAAAGTGCTTTGTTTCTTCTCTTTTTCCTGTATTCAGATGTAAGGTATGTAGCACTAATTGTTCTTAGGGATATGTGTAACTATGTCCAATACACACAGGGTCTCTGAAGCAGGACATGAAACGTGATGCTATGGAAATTAAGCTAAACCAGGAAGCAGGGAAAACAAAATATATTTATATGATTCAGGCATAAAGAAAGTTAGAACGACAAGAGAAAAAGATCACAGCTGAAAGTACACTTAGTGGCTTAAATGTCTTTCAGTTGAACTATTTTTAAGCAAAATTTTGATTTTACATATAATGTTTTAGCATTTCTAAAGCAAAAGAACTTATTTTGAAAATGTCAAAACAGTTGTTTTTTTTTTTTTAAAGCAGGAATATATTTTAAATAAAAATGTTAATTTAGTGTGATTTTAACTTTAGTTTTTCAGTCAGTTGCCCCCTCCTTCCTAAAGCGTCACCTAGCTTTAGCAGGAAGTTGCAGAGAATTACAGCATGCCTTGGAATTGGTGTCAGACTGATTTGTCTATTCAATAACTAATGAAAAAGAGGATTGGTGGGTAGCAAACTGCTTATAGAAACATCCATATTAAAGTCTTCTTCTAAGATATTAGACGTGACAATTTGGGGGCTTATAAAAAAAATTCGGACAAAAGTAACCCAGGATTATGACCATTTTTAAAGTGACTGTTTTTCCTTAAATATTGGGCACAAGCACAATCTTAAGTGGGCTGTCCTAGTGGAAGTATTTATACACATTTATTCATATCCTTCTTCCACCTGAGATTATAATTTTACTATACTTACATATACTTCATCTTTGTCTACAGAGCAATGCTGTCCAGCAGCACCCATCACCGTCAGCAACTAGTGCCTATGCCAGCATAAACTGTTAAATGAAGGATACAGATATGCCAGTGGCTGCAGACATCTTCCTGGGAGCAAGCTGGTCAAAACCCAACCAATTCTGGTTTGGAAGCTTTGTAGGTGCATTGATTTCAGGCGCAGCAACGTGCCAGCACAGATACACAGACTCCAGCCTGTTTTGGCTTATGTCCAGCCAGCTCAGATCATGAGCAGCTCATGTCTGCCTATAGAAATCCTTGCCGACGCACACATTAACTTTCAGGCCACTCAGAACTTGCATTTAAAATGTAAAAACTTAAGTCAGAAAATTACCCTCCTAAAGCAGATGTATTCTAGAGAACATGTAAGTAGCAGGAATATTGCTCATTTTCCAGGATAGCTATCGTGTTAATTTATTTCAAGAATAAAGCCAGTTGGATTTTTGGCATATTGGAATGAGTCATTGCTAGAGAGACTGTAGAAAAATGAAAAAGTACCAGATTCTTATGTGCTGTATGGAGGATGTGGCTGCTAAGAAAGGCAATGAGCTGCACTCCTCAAACTATATTAAGCCACTAATTCTTATGTTGCTTCACTGCACATAAACTGCATTCAAATATCCAGTCTTCGGAACTGAAAAATATAGCATGTCCAAGCATTCTTCTGCTTGGAAAAAAGGTGCACCCAAAACCGAGATCTGTTTTGCTATATTCATGCTATTTACAGCACCAATTATACCACGGATAAAGCATGTACTATCAAGAGTCATTGGTGCTACAGATCTCAGACGTACAAAACAGTATTTCAGTTGTTCAGAAATACTCACCTCTCAGAGCAGCAGGGTCATTCTTTTCAGCTAGCGGTTCTAGAAACCTGATTTGCAATTACCAAAAAGGTCCTCAGGACTCAAGTTCACTCACAAAGATTATAAATGGCACTCTTATCAAGAGACTGTTCTGAAGGCATATGTGTATTCTACCACTCTATTCAAATCTGAAGTGAATAAACAAGTTTTTATTTGTATTTGAGTCTGGTCTGCATAAACCAGACTGAGCTGACCAGCATGTCTGCTGAAAAACTGTATGACATAAAGCAAAACACTTCTTTCAAGACAAAGAATTATTCCTACTGACATTAACTACAACTGAGTGAGAAAGCGAAGTTTGTAAAGAACAAGGGCAATAAGGCAGCTTTATTTGTGATAATGTTTACTGGAATGAATTAAACAAAGACATATAATTAGGCTCTTACATTGGACTTACTAGTTTTAACTTCAAAATATTTTGACAACAAAATTTATGAGGTAACTCATGATGCTGAGAGAAGAAAAAATGATTGCAAGAGGCTCCTCAAACAGGAGATAGCTTGCCTGAAGCTATGAATTATCTCTTCTGCTCTAATCAATTCTGGTAGTCTCTGCTAGACTCTGGACCCCGTTTAGTACGCTGAATTTGAGGAACAGTATCAAGTAATTAGAGAGATTCCCAACAAATGCAACAAGTTTGATGAAAGGTCAACAAGACCTGAATTATAAGTAATGATCCAAACCCCTAAATTTATTTTGAAGAAAAGCAAATTGAAGGAAAAGCAGTATATAAGATGTTCTAGAGGCTGGCAGAGAGGGGAAGGAAGTACTTTATTCCCCAGAACCGTATTAGAATAAGCAGTAACAGGCAGTTTGCAAGAAATCAGGCCAAGAAAAACACTTTAAAGAAAAGTTTAACAATATAAAACAATGACTGGGGCATCTTTTGGAGTCTTCAGTAAAAGATTAGGCAAAAATCTCTCAAGGAGGACAAATATATCCAATCTACTTTTCAGCAAGGGTATAGACTAGATGAGGTCTGCTTCCATCCCATTAAATCCAATGGTGTAGAAGAGAGGCATTAAGTCATTTTTTTCTTCTTCAAAACCCTAACAAAACCTCATATACTACCCCTAAGCTATTTATTTAGAGTTAAATTTCATTCTATTCTCCTAAACCAGAAAAAGTCAGTCATTACCACAAATTAGGAATCAATGAAAAACAGATTGACAATTTAAGATTTAATGATTCATGAAATAAGCAAGAAAAATTGAAGAGCTAATCTAATAATCTCAATGTCATGGTGTATTTCCATATCTTCGTTACAGAATATACCAAATAGGAAATTGAAAGCAAAAGGGAAGAAATATTTTAAATTTTTAAGTATGGTTTTATATCCTGACCACAAGACTGTATGTGATCGCCTAGTGACAATTACATCTGGCAGACAGACAACCAACCGTAGCTCAGTGGAAAATGGGATTATCTTTATTAGCAGGCTCTTAAAACCCAGAGTATCTGTTTACTCCTCTGCTTCAAAAAAAAGAGATTAAGAGTAATCTAATCTGCAACGTTGATCACAGTATTCTCATTTAAAATTATGCTGAAAAGATCCAATGCTCTAGAAAATCCAGAGGCAGAGAGAAAACAATTTTTCTTCCTGCAGCGAACACCTTTCAATACCTTCCTCCAAGTAAGGTTTACTGGACTTTACCGATCATGAAACACAGCTAATTCGATTAGGCATAGAAAAATCAAAGTCAGTAAATTAGATTTGGTTTTATTTCATGCTGATATGTATTCGTACAACACATGGGATGCTTGCTGATTTAAAGTTATTGACAAAAAGAAATGTGGTTCTAAAACTGCAGACACTAATAAGGCTGTACAAAGTAATTTCCTGTGATCGCCATCTTCTATTTCTAATGGAAAGATGTTTATAGATTACAGAAGCAACAACAACTACAGTTACCAGCAGGTTTATTCTTTAGACCTACCCCTGAAGACAACTTTCCGCCCAGCATCTTAAAAGAACAGAACAGAAAAAATTGTATTGCTGTTGTTGGGCGATACAATTAGAATAGATAAGTCTCCACAATCATCAATCCAGTATGGCTACAAACACTGGCAAGCAAAACACGCCTTTGGTATTCCAACTAAACAACAAAATCCAATAATCTCTCAGCTCATCTACTAGTTTACAGAACAAAAGTGGGGGGATGTAAAGAAAGGCAAAGATGATGATGACTCAACAAGATAATATAATTCATTAAGATTAAAAATGCTTGAATCCAAGAATCCCAAATTTGCTGGAGGGGGATAAAGATGGTATGCAACAGATAATAGCCCCTTTATTCCTAAGAGTGAAAGACAACAGAGAACCACATTTTCACTTTCAAATAAATTCAAATTCATGTGGATGTTCTCACCTCAATATTTTTACATGTGTTATTCAACAAAAGCTCTTTAACAAAGCAGTTAAGAGGTCAAATAAGTGTTATACTTACTGGTAATGTACCCATGATGGACCAAGGGTTTTCTTAAATTGAGTGAGTCCCACAATATCAATGTAAATGAGTTCTACAACTTTATCCCCCTGGGTAGGGCAGCCAGATCTGTTACCTACAACCTTCTTCATAATCCTAAACAAAGAAAGAAGGAATATGGAAAAGTATTACTTTCCAAATACCTTGAATAGATGTTGTAATATTATTTATACCAATAATTCCCCTTTCAAAAAAAGCCTTTTCCAAATCAGGAACCATGTAAGAACATTCAAATGCTAAAGATGTTCAGCATTTGTTAAAGAACTGTTTATACATTAGTGAAGCACTAATTTTCACTAAAAACCTCATCTAATTTAAACAAGAGAGTAATACGGTTGGAATGTTTAAAAATAGAGAGCTTTGAAATTATTTGAAATAATTTCTGACTTCTATTGACAGTTTTATAGTGTAAGAGCTCTCTACGAAATGATGCTGTCATGTTTGTTATAAAAAATGAAAGCTACAGAAAAAGTGTATGTGCTCAAGCTTAAAATAGGCGTTTTATGCTTAATGCTGAACTAGTACACAAAGCAAGACAAAGATGAGTGAGGTGGCAATTTGACCTAACATAAATAATTAACTACATCAAAAGTAATGTGTTTAAAGGATTTAAACCTTTATTTTAAAATTAGATCCTGAGTGAAGAATAGCAGAAACTGAAGAATAGGACACAGAATTAGGCTAGTCTGTAACATTTCCTATTGCAGCTGGTTAAAGCACCCGGAATGTTAAAGAATAAGCTGCTTAGTTTGAATTTTACAACATTCATTTGTGAAGTCTCAGGAGCCTGAAATTACAATGAAAACACATTATCCTTTTCATAGCACATATACTTAGCTCATGAAAATTATTTTATTGTCTGTTTAGTGAATTATCACTTCCATTTTATGCTTCAAGAAATTGTATACTGTTAATAGAAGCTTCAGGAGTTTACAATTCTCTTTGGTTTTTTGTAATTCCAGTTTCAAAAGTGAAAGTAATCTCCTTACTCCTTGAGCTCTGCCAGTGAAGCTGAAATCCTGATGTCATGGCCCAGTAAGTAGAGAGATGTAATTAAATCACTCCACTGGACTAATTCACCAAGTGGGCCACCACTAAACGCATTTTCTGCAATCTTGAATCCAGATTCTTTTGTCAAAAGCCCGAGATGAACAAGAATCTGGAAAGGAAAGCCATATGTTAGAGTTACCGACATTAAACATGCAACTAGTATACCTCAGAGAATTTTTTCTATTAAATTCCAACCATGGCCAAAAAATCAACCAAAAAAATCCAGTACTCCCACCCCAATAATTTAATTTTGTAATGGATCTCTAGAACAGTAATTATAAGAATGTTACTGCATTGTTTTGCACTATTATCTGCCACCAAATCAGTAATTAAACAAACCCCCCAAACTGTTGTTATTCACAGAATAATCTCTAATTCTGCACAGGAAGTTGTGGCTCACATTAACTTATTTTGATTGAATAACCACTTATATTATCAAGTAGAATACACTTGCTTATGCAAGACAGTACAGTTAAGGAAGGGTATGCTGTTGTGAACAAGCCATTAAGAACTTGGAAAGACTGCGTAAGAGTAACAGGATGCTTTCCCAACCTCTCCTCTCCGTTGCTACTGAAGAAGAGTTTTCTCTAGTTCCTTGAAATCTGTGCTTGCCTTTCTAACAACACAGAGGTTGAGTTCCAAACACTTCCCTACTTACCTGGACTGTTGTTTGTGTGTGGGTACATACAGTGCCAAGCATAAAAACTCCCAAACACCCAAAAACCTTTTCCCTCACTCTTTAAAAAGAAGCAACATTCAAAAAACCATTTTGTTCTAATCTCTTGCAGCTCCCAGAACTGAACTGGACATATTAAAATGAAATCACCATATGTTTTACAGAGCAACCTCAAAGGACTTTTGAAAGCAAAGAATAAGCACTAGAGCACCCCATCAAAACTGCCTGTGCAGGACAGTATTGCTTCTGTTTATTCTTGAGTTTATATATTCTCAGATGTATTATATTCTCAGATGTATTTCTTTCATAAACCAGGCTGGAGGGCTGCTTGAAAGAGAAGGGTTGCTCCTTGACAGAGGGTGAGCCTACTCAAGGGCTGTAGTACGTGACAAACATTACAGCTGCAACATGGAGCCTACATCTTATGTGAGGACTGAGAATCTCAAGCAAGGAGCTGAGCTGCAGTCAGCCAGGCTTAAGAGAGGGTAGAAACATGACTGTGCATGGCCTGCTATCAATCAGGATTGGCTCCAGTAAGAACAAGGCAGGAAGGGAAACTGTTGTTGTGTTTACAACTTTAAGCTTTATCTTAACTAGTTGAGGTAATTAAAAAAAAGAAATTAAATCAATAAAATAGAACGTTTCACTTCAAGAATCTCATGGTTTTTAAATTGAACTCATTACAGGAGGTCTAAACTGACCCAATCCAAAGTTGTGATCAACTTTAAGTCCACTCAAATCCAAAACAGAAATACGCCATTTAAAGTCTCAATTTTGGACAAAGATGATGTGCAACTGTTGTTTTCTACGACCACGTAAAACACTCCAGCGTCATCAGCTTGCAGTAAATTCACAGTTTCTCCCTTTAGAAACTTCTACATAGTCTCTATTTTATCCAAACTTAAAGAGGTTAGAAAACTCACTCAAAGATTGACTCATGGAAAGTATGTAAAACTATTTGTAAAGCAAATACCCATTATAACAGTAATTTCAAACAGCGAAATACTTCTTGAAAAAAGGCACAAGTATAAACATGAGCATTTCAGACATACTTGGTATTTCCACTCTGAAGTTACTTCCGGAACAAGAAGCTTAAAAAAGCCTATATAACTGCAAGTGGCAGGAATGAAAAATGTTTTCATTTACCTTTTTTCGTTTTCTCTTCTCCAAATTTTGTTTTTCTGCAAGTGATTTAATTGCTTCAATCCAGGTATCAGCCATTCGTCTGATGCGTAACATCATCCACCTGAATTCCTCATGTCTTGACATCATTTTGTAGAGATTATCAAAGTTGATACGAATTTCAGCCTTCAATTAAAGCATTAAAAAAACCCCAAAACATTAGTTATTCTTCAAATGGTGTTACTTTCCAGAAGTAAAAAAACTTCTCAAATGTGAACTCTGTGTTTTACATTCCTCATTTAAAAAAGAAATAGGAAAAAAAAATACACTCCTAACACTAAAGTCAAGTTGAAATTTTAGTTCAAATATTTAAGATATTTTTAAACAGACATTTCTAAGCCACATAAATTACTGTTATTTTTATTAGTAGTATTTGGTAGCCCCAGAATATGTTTGCAATGTTTCACAATGTCTTTATTTCTGCAATATAAGACTTGGTTTTGTTTATGTGTTTCAAAATGAGGTTAAAGTATCTCTAAAACACAATATAAAATCAGAACAGTACACTGAAGATTCATGTATATCATGAATCTTCCAAATACAAGGAAGTCTCCTATTATACCACGAAGGAAGAAACATTACTAGACTATAGATTTTACAGGAAATATTCATTTTAAAGCTAGACTGATCCAAGAAAAATTGGTTTTACAAAATGAGACAGCCTATATCTAAATTATGTAAGCAACGTTCATATACAGCCCAGCAATTATCTTAAATTCCAAAGTGCTACATAATTAGGCTAAAACAGTTTAGAAACAACTCTGCATGCTGTAGAGTTTTTAAAGGAAAAAAATCAGGAGTAATCAAAATGTTACTACCAAAAAAAAAAAGTATATAAGCCTCTTCCGTTAAGGCATTTTTATATATAAGGCCCAGATTTATGGGACAATAAAAATGGACAGTTTCACATATGGTCACTTAACACTGGTGAACAGTCTATGGATTTATAATTTTCCTCAGTATCTGTGTACAACATTTCATAAATTTAAACACAAAAATGTTTTTAATGGAAATCTACCACCAAGACTGCAGCGCAATACAATGACTGGAGAAAATACATGATGAGCTACCAAGGATGTTTTCCCTTCAGTTTTGAGGAGTGAGGAATAAAAATGGTAAATTCTAGTCTTATTAGCATTTATGTGGCACAGGATTCCAGGATTACTGAATTATTTCTCATGTTTTAACGTTGTTCTTACCACTGTTGTTTGATCAGTTTCTTCATTAGGATTTTTTGCTCTCCAAGGTAAACGAGGACACCAATTTTCAACCTATAAAACAATCACATGAAAATAAATGATTCTATTTTACTTTCAGCTGGTCTACCAAAGTCTCTCACTGCCTTTATATTACACCTTTCTATGGCTTAAATAAGGCATCAGCTGACTAGTAAGTCACTGCAAGGTAAAACTGCTTTTTGCAAGAAAAGCTTAAGAAGACTTTTTGCAATTCAATACTATTTTAACCTTGCAAATTTGCAACCAAAAGTCACATTTAGATATTCATTCATGAAAATGAATACAGGATAAAAAAACCCTTTCAAGACAGAGGTTGGCTGTTAAATGCCCTAAATACGGTTTCTCTGAGAAGTTCTTAAATGTTTTCAAAAAGCACTAAGTTTTTTTATGCTTCTAGATCTTTAAAAAAAAAAAAAAAAGTATTTTGGAACATTTCCCATCTCCCTAGAGTATCTTTATAAAAGGGCTAAGCATGATAAAAACCAAGGATCAAAGTTCTACCTTGTAGCAATCTAGACAAAAAGTTGAAAGAAGAATAAAACCAAAGCCACCCTATTTGAAGGGTATAAGTAACATAATTATAACATAAGTAACAATATCCACAAGTACTAATAGCTGTAATTCTTAGAGAAACAATCAGTACAAATGCAATACTTCTACTATTGTCTACTAGGGAAAAAAAAAGTATAACAGCTAGTAGTTAGGGAAGAAACAACAAATGGATGCAAGCCACTGAAAGCTCCTGTGCTCTCCCCCTAGGGATCTTGCTTGTCTTGTAGAAACTTTATTATTCATATGTCTTAAGAAATTATCCCATTCACTTTGGGGAAGAAGGAATTTCACTGTTGGAGGCAAACCCATGAAAACAGAAACATAACTCTACCGTGAAGAGGGAGAAAGGCAAAAATTTATAGGCTAGCTAAGATACCCCGTCACTACCAATTAAGTTCACAACTCCCAGAGAATTAAAAGTCAGAGCTGCTCTTATGGTTTCTCCAGTCATAGACCTGTCAAAACACAATTTTAGCTTAATCATGCTGCAGTAAGCTTGAAGCATTAGAAATTAAAAGCTTAAGATCATACCAAATGATTGCCTAGAAGACCAATCACATGAAAATAAATTATAGACATCATAACCTCATTAAAGAGAAGAAATGTATCAAGCTTAGGTTTCTTCATACAAATTATACAGAAGCATTAATTTGAATGCTATGACTTAATCTACTCAACATATTTAATACAACATTTGAAAGCAGTGACTTGATCAACCTCGTTTGAAAACATCTGATTCTTCAGTGGTCTCCAACTCTGGAAACGTACTAGAAATTGTAGCAATTAACAATCCTAACTTTCACTTACGTAAGTTGTGGAATCACTGGTAGAAAAGGAGTTGCAAGCTCCTTATTACAAATCATGCACAGTCCCAATCTCTTTTTTTTTTTTTTAAATAGTACAAATACTTTTGAATTATTTCTAGCATTAAAACTGATCTATATTAAGATATGACATTTCAAGGACTACTGTACGTGCCCCTTTTCTGGCTTCATGTATTTCACACCACACCATCAGGCATCCTAAAGATTTTTCAGAGCTGCCAAGGACAGTTAGCAGCATGCCTCACTGACTGAAACACAAATACAGTTCTTTTGTGCTTTTAGAAATGTTCCCTCTACTCTAAATTAAATTACAGCAATTCTAATCACAAATAAACACTTAAGGATTAGATTCAAAGTAATATCAGTGTATGCAGTTAGTCTAGCATTCGTTTTTCCTTATTGATATTCAGTCAATTCCTCTTTTCATTGGTAAGATCAACTTAACTCACTGGAGGATTTTTAAACGCATATTCTTCAAAGTATGCCAGTTGTTTTGTTATTTTCAGGACTGATAAATGCACTCGGAAGAATGCATAGGCATTCTCTTACAGAAAAAGGAAATGATTCTGCTCATTTTTATGAGCCAATGGCTCACAAAGAGTTGTTAGATAGGGGGATGATAATTAACAAGAGCACCAAGAAAGCAAAGATGAAGCTAACGAATCTGACATACCATGGGAAGGGGAAAGAAGAAAAAACCTTATTAATTTGATGTATTGACTCAAGGGAAAGTGGGGATGGAGAGGCAAAATACTGACTGACAAACCAGCCAAACTAGGATTACTTTCATAGTGAATTTCAGGTATTCTTGGGCAAAAAGGATCAGGGGTATACATGCCCCTAAGATGGAAACATTATGATAGCAAAACCAGCCAAAATGCTAATACAAATTCTGTTGTTCAGAACATGAGTTAATTTTGCAGATAATTAAAGAATTAACTGGAATTAGTAAGACATGGTTCCAAGAGAAACTGAGAGGAAAATCAAAATATGGTTAGAGTGATGGCAGCGGGCAGAACACTCAAACACTGAACACTGAAGCTCATGCGCCAGAAGTCACTTCTAGATCATAGTAAATATTATCAGGTAGATACAAAGCGAAGAAAGCAGAAGTGAAAAACTACAGCAGGAAAGTCTACACAAGTCGTAACATCTATATTTAGAGGTGCCTAGTACTCAAGAAATATCACACTTCCAACAAAACCAAGATTTTCAGAGAGAACAGAGAGATTTCTCTCCATCTCTGGTTCTTGCTTCCCTGTTCAGTGAGAGCTACAGATGATCAACAGTCTATATACACTTTGGTAAAAGGAAGAGGGATTTCAGCCTACACAACTACACAAGGTATATCTAAGACTTCAGAGACAGCCTTTGTAGAACTACTGGAAAAGGAAATTACAGCACTGACAGGCTTCTACTACAGAATTAAAAAGCCTGCTGATTTGATCATACTTATACAAGATGTCTATCAGGCTGCTACGTTTTACTGCTGCTTTCCTCAAAAACCCAGCAATTGCATTTTTATATGTATTTCAAGCAAAAAGCTTCCAGTTAACTGTGGTTTTGCAGTTACGTAAAATAAAGGCCTACAGCAGTACAAAGCCTCAGTAAAGACTGCTTAAAAATCCTGTAAAGAAATAGTACTTAGTACTTAATATTTTGTGTCAGAATTAAAAGCAACAGTTTGCACTAACCCAGATGAGTAGCAAAATGAACTTTGTGTTCCTCTCAATTTAGCCCCATGTAATGATACACTGTAGAGCAGAATACATACTTCTGTTGTATCATTTCTGAAAGATGTGTAAAAATAATCTAAATAAGCATACTGTTGGCCTTTTTCAAGACAACCTCTTTCTGCTCTTTCATTAGTTGGCCTTCCTCTCTTGCCCAGTGTACCAGTATTCAATTCAAACTGAGCACTTAAGCATTTCCTGTCCAGAACACGCAATTTCTCACCTTTAAGCCTAGGAACTACTTCTAATTGCAGCTCTTGGCAGGACCTACAGTTTCATGAGAACTTCAGATGACCTAGAAAGTGGGTGGGTGGGTTTTTCTCTTTGTCTTTTAAAGAACCAAGCATTGCCACTTTGGCTAATCGCTTCAGGGTTTCTCATACAGAGCACCACAAGGATGTCTATAAATAAAACTGCGGGCAAGTTACTTTGTGTCTCTGTGGTTCTGACCCATATCACACACCAAAATATACTATTTCGGACTCCTTTGTTTACAAGTTTAAAATTGCATTACAAAGAGTGCTAGATGAGTGTAACATAATACCCTAACTGAACTGCTTCAGAAGAAAAAAGAATACGAAAGAGCACAGGCACTTGTCACACTAGATTGTAGAGGCGATTTTAAGAGCAAAAGTAGACATATGCACAATTTGATGCATATTCTGTCATTTCAAACGGAGGTTGTGCATAATTTGATGCATATATTGCCTTTTCAAGCAGAGGATGTGTACACAACCATCTTATCACTATACTGTGACCTTAAAATAAAAAAGAAAAATCTTAACAGGAATATCCTTCCAGTACCCTAATGCATTTTCATATTTTAAATCAGCGGTTTTGACTTGAGAGCTCTGTAGACACATTTATCATTCAGCTGTGCAACCATACTATAAACTGTCAACTCTTCATCACTGTCCACTTTGACAAATTACTCTCGCAACAGCATTTCCACGTTATCCTTAGCAGCCAACACACCTCATAAATCCACATCATTGTAGTGTTATTAGAATTTCATTTCATGCTTGCATTTGCAAACATTTAAGCTTTCAACCTCTGCTGCTGGGCATTAATCATGGAGTTAATCATAGGATTAAGAAAGCCAAATTTAAACTCAAGGTTAATAACATGCTCACCCAATATTAGTTTTACATTCTGTCATGGGAGAACATTTTAAAAAAAAGTACAAGACCTTTGTCTGAAGTTCCCAAATATACACACAAACTAATTGTACTGTTGTTCCATTATGAAATGAGAAGTTGCCCAAATTCAATATTGCTGCTTAAAGAAAAATTTCAAACCCCTCGACCCTTGAAAAAACAAGCATTTGGCCTCTGTAAATCTGCGTGCATTTTGCCATGAGGATGAGCTGAAAGATCAATTATGAAAAAAACTAACAGCATCAACTGAGTTTCCAAAACTGATGATCAGAGAAGATTGTCACAGAATATAGTGATTTAACAGAAATACAAAATAGTAAATGTCATTTAAGAATATCAGATTCTCACATTCAGTTGACACGTATCCTCATTTTTAAGATACATCTGCATTGAAAACATGAAGCACCAGCTGGTTGACAGATTACTACCATGCAAAACTAACACTGCTAATGCTAAAACTTAACCTTTTAGTAGAAACTTAGATCAACTTCAGATGATTATGAAACCATATCTCTAGCTTCTATGATAAATAACAGGGTAAATAATATAGTCATCCTGTATCTTTTCTTTCCCCAGCTTTATAGCCCATAAATAAATCAACACTTGGTAATAGCAATGGAATCAGTCAAATTTGTGATTCAACCCAGCCTTTTTATTTCTTCAGATATGTGTTTTGGACATGCATTTAACTATTACTGCTGCTTAAAGCAATGCCCCCAAAAAGCTCAATGACAGTCAACTGAGTAAATTAACAGAAACTGCTTTCATTACAACTGAGGTACTTATATAATACTTACTATTTTAATCTCAGATACGTAATTTAAAAACACAGCCCCTCCCTCCAAATGCTGCAGAGGCTACACAATTAATACTAGTTTGCAATTCTGCAACCACATTGGCTCTCGCAGATCTTTACAAGCAGTAAGGCACTAGATATCAATACTACTTCCAAGATCAGTTGCTGCAAGTTATGAAAATTTTACTAATAAGAAAGAAGAGGCCCAAGTGCCAATATATTTGCAACTTCACTCAAAAACGTGACTTTCAGATTTTTTTTGTTTTCTGTTAACAGACTCTGCAGTTCATGAACAGTATCCAAGCAGGAAGTGGCCATGCTTCTTAGAAGGATGTACCATCTAGTTCCACCTCCCAAATTTTACATCCCAAATGCCTCCCTATTACTACCTCAGGAGCTACGTAGAAAGCAACAGAAAAACTGTTCAGAGGCAAGGATCTATGACTGAATTCATACTTCAGTTAAACAGGATACCTAGTATGGACTCCCTGGACAGCTGCTGTTTACATCACTTCAGTTATAAACATTAGAATTCTCCAGGCTAGAAACACCTGGAGGACTTATGAATACTAGCAACACACTTCATAATAATTCTGTTTTAATAGCTTTTTCCTCTTTACAGAATTTTTTTGAAGTTATGATTTCTTTTCAGAAAAGTTTGCCAACAGTTACCAAAAATACTGAGGTACTATGATGTTCCCATTCTGCAGATTAAAAGATTACTGACCTCACTGAGGTAAATAAAAAAGGAGCATGTGGACCCATCTACACCATAACTTGCATAACAGGGATCCGATCGCCACATATCTTTCATCCACTGTAACAGAAGAAAAACAGGGTCTGTTAGGTTTAAGTACTACGTAATAACTCTATACTATTTCACACTGAACTCAGGAATAACAGGGGAAAGCTGCAAGAGACTATACCCAACCAGATAAAATCACAAATAACAAAAAAGGAACTTAATGAATATTTTGCAGCATAATGCATTTCTGCATTCAGCTACATTGGGGAAGTAACTACACAACAGACATGAGCATTGTTTACACAAACTGGTAGCCAGGCAAGCAGAGGCAAATATTAAAAGGAAAATATAATCAGGATCCAGACATACGGG